TGTTGGCGCCCGATGTTGTCTGAAAAATCACATAATCCAGGTTTCACATCCGCAAATAGGTATCCTTTGGTCACGCGCAATATACACAAGCTGCACTACTCACTGGGCGGTCGTCATCCCCCTGCCGTTCCTCTTCGTCGCCCTCGTGCACGGGAACATCGAAATAGGGCTCGTCCGGCGGCAGATGTTGATCCACGGGCACACCGATCGTCCGGAGTTGGAGACCCTGACGACCGGGGCCCGGGTAGACGGCCACGATGTCCCCGATGAACTGCCGGAATTTTGCCGATGTTGTTGGCAACTGGGACAGGACCCGCGTCCTGTACACGTACGTACAGTTGTAGCTCTGCAGGCTCCTGTCCGTGCGGAGCGACTTGATGGACTTCTTCAGCCAGCGATTTCTGCACTCGATGTTCTGAGTGTGGGCCTCGGGATCATCGGCGTCGACGAATCTGCTCGGAAAATAAAAGAAAAATGTCACTTTTCAATAACGCTTGTTCATTTCTTTCACATAACACATTGCAGTTTTATCTTCCTTACCTCCCGGGGCCCCGCTGGCTGTGATTAACGGTCTTATGTTCAGAGAAGCCCATCGTCATACAACCGCGATATTGGGCCGCGCTGTCGGAAACAATGATGGAACCACGGGCGATGTATCTGAGCATGTGGCTCCAGAGAACCCGTCGGCTCTAGTTGTCCACCTGAAAGAATACGAGAAACTATAACAAAACTTCCACAAAAACTAAAAAATAAAAGGAAATAATAATGCTTGGCTACTACTTACATGCCAGTACATCACCTCTTTTGTTTCCCAACAATAGGCACCGAAGATGGTAATTTGGGTGCCTTTAGTTACGCGCCCGCGGTTGTATTTTCGCCTCCGGGTGAAGGTCTCGTCGATCTGAAAATAAAATATACGAATATAGAGACAGACATTTCAGCAAAGTCAGAAAAGTGGGTCGATGGTCACCTTGACGTGCATGCCTTCACCCCCGAGCTGGATGTTTTGCTGGTGGGAGACGAAAACCTCCGCAACTTCACGGCAGTAATTATACCAATCTACCGCTGTTTTGGGGGCCACACCGCATTTCTCCGCGGCCACGGTGACCGGCTCCTGCTTGACCCACGAATAGATAAGCATCAGCACCTGTAAAATAGAAAACCAACAAAACACATATCATCTCAAGCCATACGATCAAATTACAGAAATGCATAGCGTAACGTGACCCAGAGAAAAAGAAACCGCCGATTCTGCGATCACGTTTCGCGAGCGACTTCAAATGTCATACCTCTTGGGCTGAAAGCTGTGTCCTTTCGAAAAAGGTGTTGTGGGTGCAAGACAGGGAACCAGTGCACATGGCCCTGAAGATGGTGCCGCCAGTCCGCCTCCTCATCTTTTTCTGCTGTACTTTTTCACAGCGGTAGACGAATCCGAACCTGTCAGATGGAGCCGGTTCCTTCCGCATAGTGCCTAAAGATTACGACAAAAACATCGAAAAACTAGTAAATTGGAATATTGGCAGTTAACATATTACTGTTACTACTACTATTAACTCGCGTGGTCAAATATCGAAACAGGATAGCGGTTACTGTTATCCATGGTTTCAATATGGCCATACTTCCGATGGTTCGTGGTCCAGACGGATAAAAATGTAGCTAATGTAACGGAAACGAAACGAACCTAACCGAAGCGACGCCATTTTCGAACCATTAGTAGCATTAACCCAGATAGCTGCAGATAGCACTCGTGTAAACGCGGGAATCCAGAAAAGGCTTACCTCCGCACTTAGGACATGGCGGAAATAAACCGGTTTGGTCGGGATGAGGCACGAGCCCCACAAGATGGCAAAACGTCTGCGCAGCCTCTTCGGTGGGGAGATAGCAAAGAAAACTGTAAGATGTTATATTATTGAATATTGTGGCGGGATCCATAACGGGAGACGCCGGAATATCGCATGTATAAGGCATGATTGGTATTACATATACTGGATTCGATGATATGAAGGCGACTAAGGCTAATATAACCGCGGGAAACGGTCACGTGACTCGCGGTCGGCATCCATTGGCTTGCCGAGCGTCGGGGGACGGTCCGAGTGTCACGTGACCCGCGTCCCATTGGCCCTCGGAGTGCACTGCATCTCTATGGCTGAGGAACGACCACGTGATTTGGCTGCCATGTGCAGTGCTGTCCTTTGTCTCGTTTGTCTCAAATATGAGTTCCGAAATGTTTCTGGTAAGACGACATGCTGGACTAGTGAACAAAGGCTTGGACTACAGTCAACATAGACCCGGGTTCGCGGCCCGGCCAAGGTAAGACCAATAAATAATAATGTATAGTTGTATTTACAGACAATAGATGGCGACTACAGATGACACGGAGCGGCGCGGAAAGGACAGACGGCGACCGCGAAGACAGAGTGGGGGAAGCACGAGGAGAGAGGGACGTAAGGAGGATGTTCGCGAGTGCGCGTTAAATTTTTTTTTTCGCGCGGTAGACCACGATGTCACGTGACCGGATATGACGTAGGCGAATCTTCAGGGGCTTATATCTCGCGAAGGGTCGCGCGTAGGGGGGTGGTTTATTAGACATTTATTGTTCGTACGGGGGAGGGCTACCCGTTGGGGGGTGGCGACCCCCTCATTCGGAGGGTAAATCTTACCCAAAAAACCGCCTGTAAATCTTGCATGCCGCTTTATATTAACACTTCCTGGTCCCGATTCTATTTCTGAACGTCTCCTGTTCACGTCTAGTCAAACGAACTATTTTCAACGTTTCTGGAACGTTTACGATCGTTCTATAATCGAACCAATATTCGAATTTTACGTTCGAATTTAATTCGAACAAATTCGAACAAAACATTCGAAATAGAAAGCCACTTTCAACCACTTTCAAGCCCATATCTCCCGCACCCTTATAGCTATCGAGATGCAACCACCCCTATGCACGAATGGAGACTTGGGGCTACTACCACATACAAACACCATTCACGCGCGATGTGTAGTTTTGGCGGAAAAGTGAAATATAGGAACATACATGTCCATTTATATATAAAAGAAGAATTGCACTTTTTCAGCATACTCGGAACTAAAGAAAGATTTCTAAAATGCAACGATTCGTCACATATAACACACAATGACGGTATTATCTGAATGTCTGGAGAATTGCGTAATTCGAACATGGAAATGAAGAATTTGTCACAGCTACTACAAAATGCCTGAGAAATACGTTATGCAGAGCTGTAAAGCCATTGGAGAACGCATTAATTTAAAAAAACAGAATCGACGATGGAGAGAAACACAGCGGATAGCACTCAAGTAACTAAAACCATTGGCATGATTGATACGACTGAAGATTTGGAGCCCGATGTTTAGCCATGGGAGTGAGGAATCTGAGAAAAGAAACAGAAAAGCTATTTTATTTATTTATTCATAATAAACGTAATACAATAGGAAACAAAATTTACCTCTCTGTGACAGTATAACATCCCTCTACAAGTAGTAAGAAATCACTTTATTTTCATCAAAAAATTCGTTTTTATAAATATATTCCAAAACGTAGTTACGTTTATCTTACTAAACGTACTGTATTTACTACTTCTGCACGGCTTAATGGCTAATACATATAATAATCAAAATAAAGGAGTAAACAATATCAGTCGAAAGTAGCTTTGCAATCAGTTCAACAAACAAAAGATATTTAATGATTTGAACCGTAGCGTATGTACAACATTCCATTTTATGAAAATGGTAAATTATGTATAATCTCTTATATCTGACTGATATCATGTGATGCAGTCGCTCTTAAAATAATACCTAAAAAACAAAAACAATCATAAATAGAGATAATATTAGAAACTTTAAAACGTTAATAGAAAGTGAGCAGAGTTTTCATATTTCACAAACGTTTTCGTAGAAAAACATGAAGCGTAGCCCATTATACATATTTGGTCCTATTTTCTCTACTGTAAAAGTATTATAGAATAGATTTTCTCGATTCGTGCCAATGCATAAAGGAAGAAAACAAAAGAAAAAGGAAACGTTCTTCGACAAATTATTTCAAAGTTTATGCGAATTTCGTTGTAGCTTAGGGCTGTCCATAAATTACGTAAGGTATTTTGTGGTGGGTAGGGGTCAAGGATTTCTTACGATTTCTTACTGAGGGGTAGGGGATAATATTCTTAGTTTTAGTTTTTGATCTCGTTGAGTGGTGGCTTTTTGAATTTGGCTTTAATTTGGCGGTTTCTATTAAGAACGCTCGTTTTCTCGAGTGACGTGAAAAAGTTATAACGCTTGCAGATTCACGTTCTACACATTTTTCGTCATGAAAGAAAGGCCGTGTGGTGGTTTTTTTTTCTTGTTTTTTATTAGTAAAACTGCACCACTTCTATCGGTATATAACACTATAAGACTATTCGGATTTTAGAGAAAACTAAAATGTAAAACTAGAAATTAAAAATTATAAATAGTCTTTTCTTCCATATTTTTTAAATATAACTGTAAAAAGCATCAAACAGTGGTTTCTGAACAAGCTTATCGAGTGGACGTGGCCACCTGAAACCAAGTGTAAAGATTTCTAATTTCAGAAAATATTTATCTTCATCGTAAATTGGACAATGATAGATCATATGGTCGACGGTGTCTAGGTTTTCTGTAGAGCAAAAGCAAGAAGCAGTTTCTGCCCGGTTATACATTGCCAGGTAGCTTCTAAAATTACCATGCTCAGTAAGTAGTTGAGCAGTAGCAAACGTTAAATCTCTTAAGTAGTGATGAGAACTTACATTCAACACTAGGAAAACAGTCTTGTCATTCTACCAGTTTTACTACTAAACTACTTTTACCGATTCCACGTTTGCATAGCGTTGTCATGAATATAATTTTTAAGGATGCTACGTGAGAGAGGGATGCGAATGTAATCCAAATTAGTATCCTTTGCTGCTGACAGCCTCAAAGTCGGGCGTTTTCATTTCCTAGTATGCCAGGAACAAATACCTGGTAAAAAAGTTATTTTATTTACAAGATTTTTAATACGGTGCTGGATATATGTGATTTTATTGCTATTGGGATTTAATAGAGCCTTTAGGACAGACTGAGAATCACTGTAAATGTTGATAGACAGGGTTTTGTTTGGTAATGAAGCAGCCCACTGAACAGCTTAGTAGTCAGCATCTGCTTCAGCTTGATAGATGGAGTATGTGGAAAAATATCTGTACCTTCTAACATATTTTTGGCAAAATGTCAGTTTGGAGGAAGATACAGATACTTGAGCCGACAAGAAGGGAGCATTTGGACCCATCTGCGTAGATATTAATGTTTGCATGGTTATCCATGGAGGAAGCGGATGATACCAAATAACCTTGTTTACAGGATGATGATCAGAGATAGTAGAGTAATTGCAATGTGGTAGCATATGAACAGCCGTAGATAGGAGTAGAGACCATTATTGAGCCTTGATGTTTGATGTTAGTTCTGATATAGTAGTTTAGTACCTTTTCTACAATACATAGTGACAAAGGAAGGAGCTCCGCTAGTATCAAAGAGGCGTTAGTAAAAACAGTTCTGCAGCACTTTGAAATTGTGATGACAAACTGGCTTTGAAGAGAGAGTAATTTACTTGCTACTGAATTTTTACTAGTTACATGACCACAGCCAGAGGCCGCGTAAAGTAGCATTGGTTGTATTGCCCCATTATATAGAGTTTTATAAGCTTTACTGTATAGTCTCCAGGTGTACCTAGCACATTTTAGCAGCGTGTAGTTTATTTTCTTGGCCTTAGCCAAGATATAATCAATATGGCAACGAAATACAGTTTCTCTCTATTCTCTCTTGTTTTATTTTGTATCACGTTTCTGTTTACACGTGCACTAGCTAGTCCATCTGGCAAAGTTTTTTCGTCTTTTGCGAAAATTAAAATTAATAGAGAGGTTGAGGCAGACGTTTTAAACGTGTAAACGTGTAGGTCGGACGTTCGGCACCGCTTTCCCGTAAGCCTAAAAGTTTGACAATGGTGTTTGGATAGTCGGTAGAATCACGCTCGACATTCCAAACACTATCGTCAAACTTCTAGGCTTACGGGAAAGCGGCACCGAACGTCCGACCTACACGTTTACACGTTTAAAACGTCTGCCTCGACCTCTCTAATATAAAAATAAATGTTATGACGTNGTTCTTTGACCAGTTCAGGTGTGGCCAAAATCGAAGTCCCGTGTTTTTGAGTATTAACTGGTTTACATTTGTAATGATACCAAGACAATGTTCAGAAGTAACAGCACTGAAGTTGTTAAAAGACAAGTCCAGTGCCTTTAAATTGATAAAGGGATGAAAAACGTTACCAGGCATACAAGTGATGAAGTTATGTGATAAATCCAAACGTTGAAGCGATGATAATTTGTAAAAAATATCACTAGAAATATTCCTCAAACTATTTCTCGATAGCTCTAGCACTTCCAATTGAGGACTGATTTATAATTATATATTTTGTAACTAAGGTTTTTAGAGTTTCATAAAATAATTTTTTTGTTATAATCTTTCTATAAAATTATATCAAACTATTACATAAGATAGAGAAGGGGAAGGGAGATCAAAGAAAATATTACGGTTTCTTACACAGGGGTTGGTGGGGTCTAGAATGGCCGAAATCGTCCTTACGTAATTTCTGTACGGCCCCTTACTTCTGAGAAGGGACTGTTTATTAGAGGCTACGCCTCTTCAAAATTATATAAAACAGTTGAAAATTTCACTAATGATAAGCCAAAAGCTTTAAATATATATATATAATTTGAATTAAAAAGGTAGACAGTATATTTCTCAATACAAAAATATATATTTATGCTGGTTTTAATTTACATAATTAAAATATATGCTTTCCGCCCCAAATAAGCAATGGGTTGCCCCTGTACTTTATACTTTTTCTTTGACAATAGATCATGTTGGTCATCTATCTAATTCTTTACATTTTCTTAAAGTACTAACTTTACTCTTTAATTTTGTTCCCATTCTCATAGAAAAGAGAAACTGACATATCATTAATCTATAAATAGAACAAACACAGAATTGACATTACTTTACCGTATTGTAAAATCAAATATTTACAATAAATATAAAGAGAAATGTAATTATTGTAGTTTGTGTGTTATTAATTTTTCAATAAAAATCAGTGTATAAAATTAGCCACGAATTTCTCTTTTATGATATATATTTTGCATTTGAAATAAGTTTAACTGGGGTAGAATCAGACAAGATGTTTTATTATGGACTATATTCTTTTATTTACCATCGAAACCGAAAAATGTCATTTACAATAAAAAGCACAATTTGGTTCTGTCTTTGAGTAGAAATATTTTTGTTTAGATTAGTATGCAACTTTTAACCAAGAACATTTTGTAAACGTTCCAACTGTCTGGTGGCACCCGAGGACTGGGGTACCATCAGTCAGTAGAATCTCCAAGGATCTCCATCTCCAAGGATCTCTAGTCTGATGGGTGTTTGACGACCGGTCAAAAGACTGGCCCTCCGAGAATTCAGTTATTTATTTTTTTATTCCTGAATGATTACGGGCGATTTCGCATGGAGAACTTTTGCCAGCCACGTATGACAATATAATAATAACAAAATACGTAAAAGAAACGAATTTTACAATTTTGGATTCGGAGATTCTTGAAATGTCAAGAAGTGCCAAAAAGTTTGCTGAATTTTCTGTATTTACGGTGGGTGTATGGTGTTGGTGTGTGTACGTGAATGTGTTTGGATGTTTCTTCTATCAAACTATCAAACGTTTCTTCGGCATAAAAAGGCATATATCTAACTAACATTAAACGATTTAAGGCTAATCTTTCTCTTTATGCACGCGAAATACTGGAGATGGCATTAAAAATAATTTTGTTAATGTCGATAGACGTTATCTATTTAATAAAAGATTTTTTGTTAACTATCATAGTTTGTGTTAAGAGTTCTGGCTTCTGCTTTTGACACTTCCATACTCCCGGGCTCCATATAAGCTCTCGACAGCGCTGACAATACTTGACACTAAATTTCTTTTTACGGATCTAATGAAAACACTATTATTATAATTTAAATTTGATTTAATGTAGAATCATGCTACACACTCGAAATAAAATATAAAACACACTTTTAAAGTTTAGAATAATGGAATATTATCATACACTTCAGAGAATAATATTTAAAATAACTACTTTTAATATATCTACACAAATCACGTTATACACGAACAAAATTGCCCAAAAGTCACTTAACTGAGATATATTTTTTTACAGTTGTAACTTCTATAAAATCACTGAACACTACTCATGTGTTTGCATCCCACCAACGAGTTTGTCACGTGTATTTTTCCATGTTTTCTTTAGGCGTCTCACAAATAGGGTCCAGTTTCTTATGAAAAGTCTACTCGTGGGGCACTTCAGCCGTATGTTGTGTTGTTTACAATCCTATTCATTTTCTTGGTTATTGAATAAATACGTATGTACTCTTGTAAGTTTCGAACCTACAACATTTACTTTGATAAAGCAGAATTTATATATTCGTTCGACATTGTGACGTACGAAAATGAAAACACAGGCTTGTCTAACTCAGTTCCTGATTTCTTTAAAATGTTAGTTTTGTTTCCGTAACGGATATAAACAATTATTGCAGTTATCAATAACAATACTAAAAGTACAGAAATTACAATGATCACGACAATCTTCCATGCAAGAAAGGTGCCTTTCACACTTACACATATATCAGAAGAGGCAATTTGAGTAAATGAAAATGTATCAGAAGCTATCAGACAAGAAACATTCTCGAAATCTATTACTTTTTCTTTATTTCTAACGAGCCATTCCTTAGTAAACAGCGAGTCACAGCCGCAAGTCCAGTTGTTGCCTGCCAGAAAAATCTTAAAATCATTGGCATCATCGATGTGTTTCATCAATAATGGAGGCAAGTGAGATAACCTATTTCCCGCCAAACCTAGTAAAATAATATTTGGAGGAAAATTATTGAAATATTTTAAAATATTATGATTCAAATACACGTGAGTGACATTCTTCCATGTTGGTGATTCGAAGCCATAGATGGTGCTAATGTTATTAAATCTCAAATCCACTATTGTAGAACCTTCAATAAGAACATCTGGTATGGCGTTTAAGTGTTTACCAGAACAGTTTATTACTATTCCTTCGTAGTCCAAGTAACATTCGCAATCGACGGGGCATTTTTCTTTAATAGGACACGTGTACCACAAGGGAAAAAGTGTTCTGTTCTCTCCAAAACATGTTAAATTTTCAATATCTGGAAACATCTTCAACGATATCTCGTTGTTCATCAGAAAGTGTACAAATTGGCGAAGTTCGCAATCACACGTGATATTGTTATCTCGTATATCATACAGAGGACTGTTTAGCCCGTATTTATGTGTATCCAGATGAATAGTCCTTATATTATTCTGCGATAAGTTAATCTTCATAGTGTTTCGAGTAAAAATTGGCAATGTCACTGATTCCAGTTCGTTTTGTGATAAATCTACGAAATCAAAACTGTTCTTTGACCAGTTCAGGTGTGGCCAAAATCGAAGTCCCGTGTTTTTGAGTATTAACTGGTTTACATTTGTAATGATACCAAGACAATGTTCAGAAGTAACAGCACTGAAGTTGTTAAAAGACAAGTCCAATGCCTGTAAATTGATAAAGGGATGAAAAACGTTACCAGGCATACAACTAATAAAATTATGTGATAAATCCAAACGCTGAAGAGATGATAATTTGTAAAAAATATCACTAGAAATATTCCTCAAACTATTTCTCGATAGCTCTAGTACTTCCAATTGAGGAAGATCGTGGAAGAAATTTGCAGGAAGACTTGTTATTCTATTTCCTCCAACATAAAATGATTTAAGATTTTTGTTATTTTTAAATAAATTTGAAGGTAGATCTTGAAGTTTATTCTTCTGTAAAATAACTGATGTTAAATTTCTTGCATCAGAAAATAAATCTTCTTCGAGGGAAGTTAATGAACAGTTTAGAGCGTTGAAGAATCTTAACTCGTGTAGTCCCTTAAAAATTCCAGAAGGAATTCGTGTTATATTGTTATGGCATATGCAAAAGTAATTCATTTTTGGACAGAAAGCAAATAAACTTTCAGGTAATCGAGTTAATTTATTCTTATCAACGTAAAGACCTTTCAGATTTGGAATGTAACGTAAGAGAAGTTTAGGTAAGTAGACAACTTGGTTACCTGTCAGATCCAAATATTGCAAATTCGAAAGATTTTGAAATTGTGAAGGCAGAAGTTGAGAAATTAAATTATAACTTAAATCAAGACTTTTCAGGTTATAAAGGCCTCGAAATAGGTTTACAGGTAAACGTTCCAAGACACCGTTCTTCATACTTAACACAGCAAGATTTGTTAAGTGTTGAAAAGGTGTTTGAAAGATACGTGTAAAGTTATGATCCACGATGTCTAGAGATACTAAAGAAGGAAGATTTTCGAATGTAATATTTAATAAATCAGTTCTTAGACCAGTAAGTTTTATCACTTTCACTGAAGGAATATTCCTAAATTTTGCACTATCGAAATTTCTTACGTTGGTGGTGTAGATAATGAATACGTCATAGACTTCAACACCCGAAACGAATCTACCTACGTCAAAATCTGACAAAGAGCAATCCTTAATATCCACATACCTCATATTTTTAGCCTCCAGACAGTGCACTAATGTAGGGTCGATCGGTTCGTTTGCACAGCTTAACGAAAAAAATTTGTTAATGATATGAGCGGTGGACATTGCCTTTGTTCTATAACATCTTGCTTCTGCATCCGTGTGGTTTTTGGGTAAATTACACGAATATTTATTCCATTTTTTCGAAATTTCTTCACACGTGTATGCAACTGCGAACAATAATCCCACAATAGGTAGAAATTTCATCCTGCATATATCACAGCTTGTGTGAACGGGAGTGTTAAAAACGAAAGTATAATCGATATCATTTCCNTATTTTATATAACAAATAATGATTAGGATACGACAAACTGATTTTAGAGAATAGAACTAATTAAAAGATAAAAACACTTCTTCAAAAAATGCAAATAAACGATGAATTGTTCATAAATTTTCTTATATTTATAGAGAAATCAGACAAAATTTTCTTTAAAAGTGTAATAGAAATTTTGGAGTTTATACTCCTATAAACGGAGGCAGTTGGATGCAGGACTCACACTTACGAAGCCTCAAAAACAAGTCACTCATTTCGTTAATTTTATTATTATTATAATTTTAAATAATAAAATTTTCAACATAGTTTTATTCGTTTTAAAATACTGGAGATCTCAGAAAGGCCCTTTCTAGACTGGCGAGGCCCTTTCTACATTATAAGAAGGCTTATGCAAAGGAGTCGACCATTTTTTGTAGTTTCTCCTCTTCTAAAATTAGGAATAGATAAACTTATTCTTGATAAATTATATAATATATGTAAAGAAATTCTAGATATATATGTATATGTATGTATAAAGTCTTTAAATCAACGAGTGATCGCATGAATTATGCTATTGTTAAGAATTCTTTTTAGAAGACAATTTTGAATTCGTAATTCTTAAAAATAAAAAAGAAGAAATATATATATATATTTAAAATATAATGCGAATAATAAAATAGTTAATAAAATAAATTCAGAAGAAACGAATAAATATTTATGACCAACGACCAACTTCTGGAATCGATGCAGAGACTAAAATTAACTTAAGTAGAAAAAGGAAAAATCTATGTTTAAGAAAAAAGGAAATTAAATGTAAAATATCATTACTATTTCTTATAAAAATAGATAAATAATTCTACGTAATAACGTTAAAAAGTGCAATTAAATATAGTTACAGGCTGTCACTTTACGTACACCTGATACACAGTTTTCTACTAGATTTTCTGACATTCTAAGAAATCTTTTATATTTAAATAAAATAAAACTATTTATTACACACTCAAAACAACTTTATTTTACACCATTTTCTATACGAACAACTCTACAGTAATTCTAAAAATTACTATATATTGATACATACGCTTGTAAATACTACATAGGTGTTATATTGCCTTCACTAAGCTGTTACCTTATGTAACTGCAACTACTACGTAAATATTTCTCAACAAATACTTTATTTATTTTCGTACTTTGATTCATTCTATCTGCTCAATACCTACAGAATGAAACCTCCTCTTTTTCATCTCTTCACTCTATTCCTTTCTAGATCCTACAGTGCCTAAATCCTTAAATAGCCTACACCCTTGAATAGCCTAAATTCTTCAGAAGCCTAGATCCCTGAATAGGATATATCCCTGATAATAATAAACTGATATGTTATATAAACGAAAAACACTATTGATTTTAAATATTACTACACATACTATTATATTATTAATAGTACTATAAACCACTATTAAATATATTATGTATTCTACTGATAATATAAAACATTTAGTAACAATTTATTAATTAAATATTTTCTATTTTTTAAAAGACACATTACTAAATAACAGAGAAATTTATATATATAAATGAATAATAAAATTCATCAATCAATCATAAGACAAAAAAATTTACATAAATAATAATTAAATTATTCAAGAATAAAAAGAAAAATAAATATAATTAAATCCTTAATTATGTCTAGAATACAAATAATTCTGTTTTACTTAATTACTTTTCAAGGTTTTATGTAAATACAGAAACTAAATTAATGAAAAATGTCATCATTAATTCATTGATATTATAAAATAAATAAATATTTATTTATTTATTTAATATAAAAAAAAATTGTGTCAAATTTAATTATTGCCTATACTATGAATGGAATTTAATTATTAATTAATATCTCCTTAGTTGAATTTCCTATCACAATATTCTCCAACATCTAATATTAAATGTCTTTTATTACTTTCCAATCTGGAACTTCATATATTAAATGATATAAGAAAAGAATGCAGATATTTTAATAAATAACAAAAAAATTACAAAAGTAATTAACAATACAGTCGACCCCCTATAACACTCTTGATTTTTCCGTTTTATATGAATTCCATGTTGTACGAGTCACTTAGATTTTACAAATACGTGAGCCGTTCACATCCCGGCACACATATTTGTAAAATCTAAGTGACTCGTACAACATGGAATGCATATAAAACGGAATTATCAACAGTGTTATAAAGGGGTCGACTGTAATATATAATTTTTTTAAATACAGATTGATTAGAGAAGTTAACGCAACAATTGGGCAATTCTAAATCGGATTTGACTTCTGAGAGCGCTTACTATGAGAAGCCAGCTCGAATTTAGACTCTAAACAGGTGAAAAACTCTGAACAGCCCAATACTGTGAGGCACAAACCCACCACCAATTGCCAGTGTTTATTCAAATTGTGGCTTAGTGGATAAACCGCAGAAACCACTAAGCCACAATAATTTTATTACCTCCATGTGCTCAAAATTGTTTATACGACGAAATGTTTTAGAAAAAAAGCCATTAATTAATTGATTAATTTCATTATCTTCATGAAAATATTTTACTGAAAAGAATACTTTCAAGAAATAATTCCTGTGATGTTTGTCGAAAATTTCTGAAATTTTGCAAGGAGGTTTTCGTTTTAATTAAGTAAATTGACGCTGTTGAATTTTGGTGGTTAAAGGTCGATGCGGTGAGGATATAGAGAGAAGTCGTGTGTAATATCTCGAGTAGGGTCAGACATAATGGCGATTTTACTTGTTATTAGCATTTAGAATTTTTTATAAAACCCATCCTTACCCTCAAAAATTGAGCAATTTACCATTTTATAATAAATAAAACTATTAAAAAATTATTTAATAAAATATCATAACAAATAGCGGCACCGAAATGTTTTTATAAAAGTGAAGCAACACGTTGCTGTTTTTTTTTTTTTTAGAGAATCATTTAGTTCCAAGAGTCAGAAAAAAACTCGTTGGATGCGAAAGAAGCGGAAGAGGAGGATCACCTACCGGTAGTTGATCCTCCTCTTCCGCTTCTTTCGCATTCATCGAGTCACTCGCATATTTTAAGAGTTTAATTTTATTGCTTATTATTGTTATATATGCTGTATATCCGCATTTATATAAACCACTAAAGAAATTGAAATGTGACCTAAAAATCTTTCATCGCGGTTCCACTTTTTTTATGTTGCTATATAATCTATATCTAAACTATTTGGTTTATATAAAATTTATATATATATATTAATTTTAGATAGTTATTGCCCATGACTGATAAAAATAAAGTTTTAACATATTCTTTCACATAATTCTCCTTCTATCCCTGTGTTTTCGTAGGCCCAACGAAGTGAATCTAGAAGCTATTGCTTGAAGTAATGACACCGGATTACTCGAAAGTAATACATCATTCATATTAATACAAATACTAAAAAATTTGATGCATTCATTAATTAATATTCGATAACTATTGTCCAGACATTCTGAGAGTTTCTTTATTTTAGGAAAAAGATAATAGATAATTCCGCCTTGTCCAACTACCAACAACAGTCTTCACTTCGCAGAGACGATTGTATATTTGAGTACGCCTCTTTAGAATTATGTAAAACAGTTGAAAAGTTCACTGATAGAAAGCCAAAACCTTTAAAAATATATTCATAATTTCAATTAAAAAGGCAGACATTTTTCAAATTGTAGCCGAAAAACTTCGTTTCTGCGAAGTGAAGACTGTTTGTCCCTGGTAATTGGACATAATGCACGTTTTAATTATCTCTCCACCCCTCGGCCTTTACCCACCAAAATTTAATAGCGTAAATGCCTCTAACAAACAAACCTTTCTGCAAAATTTCAGAAAATTTCGACAAATTACTCATTATTAGCATTTATAATTTTTGTTTTTTTCTATAAAAACTTATCCATACCCTGAAAATTATGCTTTTTTTCCCGTTTTATAATAGTTAAAAATATAAAAAGGTTTCTTAATAAAATATGATAACAGATGGCGCCAACAAAATATTAATTAAATGCTGCTGGGAAAGTTAAGAAACTCGTTGCTAGTTTATGTTGAATCTGCTTTGGCCTCAATAACGGTTTTAATGCGGCATGGCATTAATTGAAGAAGTTCAGACCAATTGTCATCATTAATTTCCTTCCAACTCTAACAAAGCTTTCAGTTCTTCCTTCGTGGTACTGTCTCCGCATCAAAAGAGTCATCTGAAAAATAACTTTTGCTCAATCATTAATGATCCGCTTTTGGTAACGCTTTGCTCCAAAACAAAACACTCACAAATGAAAAAACGAATGGAATGGCCATTCGTTTTTTCATTTGTGAGTGTTTTGTTTTGGATTTGCAAAACTTGTAGCTAATTATATTTAATCATATTTGAGCCGTTGAGCCGTACTGTTGCAAACATTGGCATGATAAACGTTACACTTGATGTTTAATTTTTTTGATGTGGTTTTTCGAATTCTTTAATGTTGCTCTCGGTCGGCCAATTCTTTCCACTGTTTTCACACTTGCAAATTTTTCATATCTCTTCCATGTGAAATATACTATTGAAACAACGCAACCAAGTTGTTGAGAAACCTCTCTCTGATATATTCCTTCTGTAATCAGACAAAAATTTTTGTCAAAATCGTTATTGTATTCATTTATCAGGAGCCATTTTAAAGCAATGTAAAGGCAACAGTAATGGAAAACAACATAATCATGGTTACAGAGTGCTTTAACACATTTTTTACTTCGCGTGCCATTTATGTAAAATTAATTAATTAAATGGGGTTTTATATTGCTTTGAAAAAACACGAATCATTAACTCAAATTAAAATAAACAGCATTTTTCGGGTTTCGCGTACAGGTATAAATTGGTGATGCAAAGAAGACAACTATCGTACCGAATTCGGGCAAAGTAATAATCAAATCAAATCAGACAGAGAAAGCGAAAGAGTTTACAAATTAT